AAAAACTGTAAAAAAAACTGTGTTATTATTTCATAAAAAACAGCAAACATTTGTTATTTAAAGGAAAACAGGTTACTGGTTGCACTCGTAAACAGTTATAGGAGTTTGTAAGAATTTATTGCAAATTCACAAACTGTATACAAACATATAAACATGTAAATAAAAATTCTAGTGCTGGATTTCACTCAGATGAATCAAAAAAAAATGCACTAAAAAATGCAAAATGTAATGTAAAGTACAAAAGCAAATCAAAAATAGAAGTTCTTGTGGGGATTAACACATATCCTCATGGAATTATGTATTAAAATGTAGGACTGCCAGTTAACTAGATAGTTTATTGCCAGTCACTACATGAAGTTTATAAAAGAAATTAATCATTTGATGATGCAATTATTTATATACACTATATACAGTGTATATAAATAATTGCATCATCAAATGATTGATTTCTTTTATGAACAATCTACACATCAATGGTAATTATGTAATTTTGTCTAACTTGCCCAGATGTCAGAAATGTATCCAACTACTTGGATAAATAAAACATTTATTGTGTGTAAAAGTTGATAATTCTACTTGTGTCTCAAAATTAGGAACTATTTTTTATCAATCATTAAAGACTAAATATATGAAAATAGTTAGGAAGCTAAAAATGAAGATCAACTTAAAAAAGAATCTGTTCTTGTTTCACACTTGTTTTAAAAAAGATGGTAAAAAAATTTTTACCATCTATTTACGAATATGTTGACATTAATTCAGAAAACAGCAAAATTTAAAGCAATATATTCTAAAGGCAAGAAAACATTTTTTCAGTCCCGAAAGTAAAAAATGAATATATTTTTTACTAATTTTTTGTTCAGTAAAGTTTTTTCTGTATTGTTCATGTTTTTATACCATTGTGACCTGATAATATTATAGGGTCCCTATAATAACATAGAATAATGTTTACTTAACAAGTTAACTTAAATAAGTTTATGAAAAATATCAATTACCTATCAGATTAACTAACAACTACTTGGATAAATAAAAAAAAAGTTTATGAAAAATATCAATTACTTAACAGATTAACTTAGATAAGTTTATGAAAAATATCAATTACTTAGCAACAGGAATTTGAAAAAAGCAAGAAAAATAAATTAACATGTCACTTATTACCTAAAGTTTTATACATTGTAGGTTATTAAAAATAAGCTTCAATCAAGGAACAAGCTTGTTTTATGATTTTCAATTGTATAGTTCATACAGTTGAGAAAAAATTTCATAAAGATGGAGATCTCCGAAATGCATAACTTATGGTTAAAAAATTATTAATGGTAGTTTTAATATACACTGGAGCAACATGACATCAGGGTTCTACCACTTATGTAAAGTGTCAGCTTATCAAATGTTTTTATGAATCATGTTTATATGAACTGACACCTTACATAAGCCAAGGAAAGAATAGCCAATAAACAATATACAAAGTTTCACACGTCTTTACTGAAAAAAGTATCGTTAAAGTAAAGTGCTAATAATTTGAGCAAAGTAAATAGAATTTATGTTATCTAACATTTTTTTAATATTATTTATTGTCGGTACTTTTTATATATATTTTTTTGCATTGAACTTTTACTTTTGCTTTGAATTACTTTTTGAAGTAGGGGAGAGTATGCATCCATGATTCTAAAAACCTATCAGGCTAACTTACTGAATATATGATTTTATTTTGATCTCTAAAATAACAGTACATAATAGCAAATTTTATACCTTATTATAATTCAATAATCATTTTTTTACCAGAATATTTTAACTAGATTTAAAATTATAAAAACTACAAACACTCAATTGGGATCATGGGTGCATACCAGTATGCTCCCTAAATCCTACCTATATGCATCCTTGATCCTATGTATGTATACTTGATTTGAGATCAAATTTATACCATGAATGTATAAGAATAATTTTTAAGTCATCAAAACAATGTCTATAATAAAAACCAATAAAGTTATTATTAATTTTACTACAAATTATCTTTCTTAAAAAAAGAAAAGATCAATGGAAAAAATGTTTTACTGAGACTCAACGTTTTTATTTTCATTACTTTCAAGATCAAGTTTTCTTTTCCTTGTCATGAAGATCTTATTTTGCGTTTCATGTTTTTTCTTTTTGACTGAGATTTTTTTTTATTTCCTGAAGCTTATTTAACTCATTTCGAACAGGAGTGTCTGTGAGTATTCGAGTACTCTGATGTTTACGTCCTTTAATGGATTTCCATGATCCAGCTTTTGGAAATGGCTGAAACTTGTGTCGTGGACGAACATCTTTTAGATTGGAGAAAAATTCTCTTACTGTATAAAATTTAAGAGCAGTTGCTCGTGCCATACTAGTAGCTTCTGAATTTCGTAAAGATAACTCATTCCTACGTAACATAAAACCACGAAGCCACTGTTTCCCAGCAATTTGTAAACTTTTCCACGATTTAGGAATGCGCTTAGAAAGAGTCATTGCAAATTCATAGGCAAGTTTTCGTGTTGTTTTGGTTGACAATTTATAGTAAAGTTTTGAGGCCCTTAAAAGATATGCACTTATGATGTCACTTTCAAATCACTTTCCGAATAGTATTTTTTGGAATGACAGAGTCCCTTGTCATATAGCCAAGTTGAAACAGCTTTTCTGAAAACCAAATTTAAGTAAAAGACAGTTCACTTGATAAGAACGCAATTGTAAATTTGTGGATAATTATCAAGGGGTAGATAACCCACCATAAGTCAAGTAGCAAAATCTCTCTTACAAAAGGGCAAATTAACATATGGGAATATTATTTCTAAAATCAATAAATTGTGTTAAAATTTTAAAAATGCCTAAAATGTGGTAGACAGTTAGTTAAATCAAAAATTAAAAAAAAAAACTTGGATAGTATATAGTGCTTAATAACAGGTCCGAAATAACAGATTTGCATAAAGATGCTGATTGAAAAAAGGCAGAAACCTATAAAAGAAAAACAAGAAGCTCAAATTAAGCTAATTCAAAAATTTTGAAGTCATTGATTTTAAAAAATTGCCAAACATAACTTGTCACTTTTAATATTAACTTTTTTATCTTTTGATTTATTAACTTTTTTAACTTTTAATATTCACTTTCTCTCAAGCAATGAGGTTTTTAATATTCATTTTCTCTCAAGCAATGAGGTTTTTAATATTCATTTTCTCTCAAGCAATGAGGTTTTTAATATTCACTTTCTCTCAAGCAATGAGGTTTTTAATATTCATTTTCTCTCAAGCAATGAGGTTTTTAATATTCATTTTCTCTCAAGCAATGAGGTTTTTAATATTCATTTTCTCTCAAGCAATGAGGTTTTTAATATTCATTTTCTCTCAAGCAATGAGGTTTTTAATATTCACTTTCTCTCAAGCCATGAGGTTTTAATATTCATTTTCTCTCAAGCAATGAGGTTTTTAATATTCACTTTTTCTCAAGCAATGAGGTTTTTAATATTCACTTTCTCCAAGCAATGAGGTTTTTAATATTCACTTTTTCTCAAGCAATGAGGTTTTTAATATTCATTTTCTCTCAAGCAATGAGGTTTTTAATATTCACTTTCTCTCAAGCAATGAGGTTTTTAATATTCATTTTCTCTCAAGCAATGAGGTTTTTAATATTCACTTTCTCTCAAGCAATGAGGTTTTTAATATTCACTTTTTCTTAAGCAATGAGGTTTTTAATATTCATTTTCTCTCAAGCAATGAGGTTTTTAATATTCACTTTCTCTCAAGCAATGAGGTTTTTAATATTCACTTTCTCTCAAGCAATGAGGTTTTTAATATTCACTTTTTCTTAAGCAATGAGGTTTTTATCTATGCATATGATGAAACTATTTTAAGAAAACTATTTTATTTAAGGTGTAGATGAGTTAAGCTCTATTCTTTTTCATTTTGTAATCAATTGTTTAAGTGAAGATGTTAAACACTTGGAATTATTTTGTGATTTATGGGTGGGTCAAAATAAAAACTACACAATGATTTGTTTTCTTGATTTCATAGTTAATCAGAGGAAAAAGATTGATTTAATCAAGATATTATTTCCCAAAAGAGGCCATTGTTATCTTAAATGTAATAGATACAGGTCTTTTTAATTGCAAGGAGCATGCTAGCACATCTTTAGACTGGTATGAAATATTCAGGGATGCTAGAAAAAAAGCTAAGTCCCTACAATGTTACTAGGTTAAAGCAAGATATGGTAAAACATATGACTTAGTTTTTAAAACCTGTGTATAATGCTGAATGTCCTGTGTCTATGAGACCTCATAAAGAAATCATATTCTCAAACAAATTGTCTAGAGTAAATAGCCATAAAATCTTCTGGGATTGACTTATCCCTTATAGGAATATTTTGTCCAACCCTAGATGTTTAAATAAAGCTGTTATTATCGTTGAGCCTGTAAGACAATATCAGAAGGGAAAAAAAAATTCTGTAGTCAATTACAAAGAGTTTCAGGTTTCAAGAAATTTACACAAATAAGTTAAATGACAGTTTGGAGTATGATGAAACTAATGATGATCCACTAGAAAAAATTTTCAGATAAATAATATAAGAACTGCTTTTTTTAATTAAAATTTCCTTTATCAATTTCTTGATTTCATATAATGCAAAGGTTTTTTTTTTATAATAATTTTTTTTTATATTTTCTTTTAAATTTTTGATACTTTGTTTAAACAGATTTTGTTTTATTGTTGTTTTATTTATTTTTGTTCTTTTATGATAGATATTTATTAGTTCGAGTATTTGCAATACTCGAACTAATATATATATATATATATATATATATATATATATATATATATATATATATATATATATATATATATATATATATATATATATATATATATATATATATATATATATACACATATATATATACACATATATATATATACACATATATATATATATATATATATATATATATATATATATATATATATATATATATATATATATATATAATATAATATATGTAGGATATATTGATTTTACTGCAAGGGAAGTTTAAGCGATACATTTACATAAGCTCTGATTCTGTTTATGAAGTATGTAAGCATAAAGATGAAAAACAGTATTTAATTGAGACAGATGCAGTGAGACCAACCGATCCAGTTGAAAGGTTCATATTTTTTATTTCTATTATTAAAGTTTTTTTATGATTATTTTTATATTGAAGGTTTTTTGATTAGGTGTAGTCTAGGATAAAAAAAGCTAGAATAAGGCCAGGAATTTTTGTTCGTAATTTCACTAAATATCATAGACGAAATAAACTATAAGATAATTGTGAAAAGAAATTTAAATACATATATACACATGTATAATATATATATATATATATATATATATATATATATATATATATATATATATATATATATATATATATATATATATATATATATATATCAAAGTAATAGGATAGATAGATTTTGCTACTTTTTCACACGTCTTTTTTATTTAGCTGCTTTTGGGTAGGCATAATATTTCATTTTCCTTATTCTTATAACCCACCCCAAACTAATCACAAATCATTTCACATTTTTAAAATCCGATTTAATTTGTTCACTTACTAATTATTAGTATAGTTATAGTTATTTACTATTTTTATAAATTGAATTAATGTATCTATTTTTAAATTAATCTAATGTGTAATTGTCTAATTTCTTTGATCTTTTAAAACAATTTTTAACAGAAAATAGTTTTAAAAACTTTTTAACAAGCGGCATAACATTTGAAGATTACTTTTAGAAAATGTAAAAAATTTAAGGCTTCAATGTTTTGCATCTATAAGCAAAAGTCCTTTTAACTGAAAATGACCAAATAATACAGAATAATTAATTTTTATTATTTTGGGCATTCATGATTTAATTTTTATTTTTGTTACTGAAATTTAAATCAGTTCCAAAATTAACTGAAAAACAAACAAAAAATTGGAAAAAATAATGAAACTTTTTAATTTTATAAACTATATGTTAGGGAAAAATTGGCTGAAAAAGATGACTATGGACACAAAAAATTGCAAGGTGAAGAAGTCTTGGAAAAGTTTCATAACGTTTTGAAGTATAACTTTATTAGTTTAAGATTGCCAGATGTGATTGGCCCAAGGGATAATACTCTTCGTTTTTGGAAATATTTCATGAGAGTCAAACTTCAAAAAACCTTAGGACCACTTAGCATTCCTAAACACGAACAAGAAAGACAATTAAGTCTTGTGTATAATGGCGATGTTGCTGATCTAATTGTTTCTTTATTAAAACCAAATTTGCCTGTTGATGTTCAAAATCAAGCATATAACCTTGCTTTCAGAGAACCTATTTCTTTAAAGAAAATGTTATTTTTTATAGGGAAGTTTGTAAACAAAGGCGAAGTTTTTTTTAATGAAACAGATGAATTAATACACTATGGTATTCCGTCTGTAACTCGAGGACCAATTGATATTACCAAAGCCGTAAATATTTTAAATTGGAATCCAAGTAGTATATATAGTGTACTTAAAGAAACGTGTCAGTTTTATGAAGATGCCGAATATAATGTAGACTATAAGTTTTCCTTGGATCTCGTATTAGATGCTCTTGATGTAAGAAGTGAAAGATACAGAGACTTTATAGAGATGCATTTTGAAAAATTGTCACCCAAAAAAAGAAAATTTGAAAATGAACTTTAAGCTATAGCTTTGGGAATATTTATAATTATATATACATGTATATATATATATATATATATATATATATATATATATATATATATATATATATATATATATATATATATATATATATATATATATATATATATATATATATATATATATATATATGCATACATAAATACATACGCTTTTTTCATAGATTTTTATATTTATTGTTGATAAGTCTCGGTTATTTTTTCTTTTCTGATAGTTTTTATATTTGAGAAAAAAGTTTTTATAGTTATAATAAATATGTTTTATTAAATAAATAGTAATATATTCTTTAAGTTGTAAAACATTTAAGTTTTTCTTATATTAATTATTTGTTTTTTAAGTCAGAAATTTCGATAGTCGTGTTTAAACTAAAAGATGTTACCTTCAAAGTGTTAGAAAGGTTTCATTTTATGTGATATTTTGTAAAATTTTTTTTTTTTTTTTTTTTTTTTTGTTATTCGTTATGTAATACTTTGTGAAATGATTCGCTAAATATGATTTTGTGTTCATTGTGACTGATAGTTTATCTAGAATTTTTGAAGATTTAAGCATTTTGATTAATTCGACTTAAAAATTGTCTCACAAACGATTTATGAATTATTAAATTATACTGTAAACTAAGTATTGAATTACAATATAAACTGTGAACTTTATGCTATATTATATATAGTGGTATACAGAAACAAACTAAAAAGAACGCAAAAAAGAAAAAAAAAATTGATTTCAAACAAATAATTTATAATAAAAACAGATAACATTTTGTGAAACAGATTATGTATTTATGAAAAGTATGCATTAGATAACAGTGTTAATGTAATATTTAAAATTTATGTTCAATGTTGCTGTGTTTTTATTGTTATTTTTGATGAATGAATGCTTTATGACGATTTTCTTTTAGCATTTAGTAGTAAGAACTTTTTATTAAAGCATGAACTGTCCTTTCTGTGGCGAATCTGTATTTGATCAAAACGAGTTACAATTGCATCAGGTAGACACGTGTCCAGCATTTCAAATTGATGAAAATGGTATGTATACTTGCAGAGTTCAGTTATTTCTGCTAAATTAGACTGGTGTTTTTTTATTTTACTATTATAATATTTAAATTTCAGTTTACTTGTATATCTCGTAAAATCAAGGCTCCTATGATTTTTAAATGAAGTTTTATCTTTATACAGCACCGTCAGTTGCAAGTATACGATTTAGATGGCTTTTTGGTCAAAAAGTTAACGAAGATGTCATTCATTTGTTATTAACAAAAGAGGTTTTTGGATCATTGTATATATATATATATATATATATATATATATATATATATATATATATATATATATATATATATATATATATATATATATATATATATATATATATATATATATATATATATATATATATATATATATATATATATATATATATATATATATATATTTATTTATTTATTTATTTATTTATTTATATATCTGTGTGTTTGTAGTATATAATTATATAAATAGCATATATGAGCGCTCTTACGATTATGTTTTTTATTAATATTATAATACAAAACTGCAAACAAAAGTCTAATACTATTTTAGATAAACAATGTAGAATTACGAAAAAATGGTGACACTTTTGAGTCAGATGTTGTAAATTTAAAAGAAGGTTTATATGGTGGTCAACTGATTGCAGATAATGACATAATTTCTTTGGCAGAATTTATTGTCAGCAAAACTTATCATTTTATCTACTTGCAGCCAGAGAAAGGTTAATTTACATAATTATTACTTTTACGTCAACATTACTTTTTTAAATATAACGATGTTTATAAGCAAATAGAATTTAGTTATGTTTTTTAGAGTTTTCAACTTCTTCATCAGATGAGCTTCATAACACAGACTTAGAACAGGACAGAGAATTTCAAGGTCTGATTTTTCAGGATTAGTAATTAAACCTTTTTTTATAATGAGTGCAGAGGGGTGTTTTCTTGTAAGTATTATGTTACTCTGGTACAATAAATAGTAGAGCTAGGTTTGAGTCCCCGAGGGTCTTTTATTTTATTAGGTCTATTATTTATTTTTATGCTTTTTTTTTTGTATACTAGATTATATATTATCTATACAGTTATAATATATATATAGAATTTTTATTAGCGCCTAACTTTTCATTTTTTGTATACCTTTAGAAAACTAAGTCTGTACATATTGGCACATTGTCTGTTAAATTTTGTTTAAACTTTTTACTGCTTGGTTCTAGTCTTTTCAAAAGATTACAACTTTGAAACTAATAAAACATTATAGAGACTCGCTGTTGTAAAAGCTAGTCGAATTTAGTTTCTAAGTTGCCTTGGCCCAACTTTAGTTTTGTAAACTCTTGCATTAGTAACCGGCACTAAACACCAACCGGGTTGTACCAATATTAATTTTGTAATATCTAAAAAATAAAATGTTTAAACTACAAATAATAGTAGTTTGCTACATAAAAACGACAACAGATTGTTACATAAATATACTTATATTACTTAGTAACTTATAAATTTAAGTCGTTAATGTGCTTTTGTTAATTGTTCTTTGAAAACAATGTCGTGTAGATTGCTTAAGTTCTTATTATTGCAGCATTTTTTTAGATTTTTTTTTTCGACAAATTATTGTTTTTTAAAAGCGTATATTTTTTGTTTAAATAAATAAAAATTACTTTGTTTTACTTGTGTTTTGTCAGGTTTTGAAATATAGTTAATTACGAGCTCAAAAATTATAAATTTGGTTTATAAAAAATGATTATTAAGAAATACACTTTCATTATTTTTATAAAACTAATATTTTTTAAATCAGTGTGCTTGCATTCTATAAGTATTATTAAATGCATGTTAATTAGATATAAAAGTCCGAATTTTTTTTTCAATTAAATGTGTTTATAAATCCAAATTCGGCTTAATTTTAAATTTGGCGTTAAATTTAGTTTAAAAGTCTAAACTCGTCTCGTTAAATTTGGGACACATGGCCTAAATTCGAATTCCAGTTAAATTCGGTGTACGCATATGATCTAAATTCGTTTTTCAGTTAAATTCGGATCAAGAAAAGTTGATTTCGCCTGTCCTTAATTGCCACCAGTAGCTTAAAATTAGTCGATAGAAATCAAATTTCCATATTTATTTTTCACCTACCTAACACGTTAAAATGCGATTCCAAATTGAAGTTGTTGCTGCTAAAAACAATACTTGCTCAATAAAACTTCATCAATATTGAAATTTTTTGTGCAGCGCAACAAAATTGCTCTATTAGTTTTTGGAAAATAATTGCACCATATAAAACGCCGGGTGAATGAAAAAAAGCAGTTGCTTTTACTCATTAATTGGTCAGTTTTACGTGAATAAAAACTTGAGCAGTTTTGCACAAATTTATATTCACTTAAAGTTAAGCAATTTACTCAGTAATTGCTCAGCTTTACGTGAATAAAAACATAAAAAATTTGTAAAAGTTTTATTTACGTAAAGCTGACCAATAACTGAATAAAAGCATTTGCTTTTTTTATTCACCTAGCCTATAGTTTGGTGATGATTATATGATATAAGCATCAAATTTAATACAATTTTTTATTTATATGTAAGATAAACTGCAGTGCATCATATACAACTGGCAATCTCTCCCTATGAAGATAATAAATTTTCTAATGTAGCATTGGTTGCGACTGCATTTCCACGAAAAGGGGAATTTAAAAATATATTGAACTCCGATGAATGAAAATTTAACAATTTTTTTCTTTATATATAAGTTAAACTGCAGTGCATCATATACAACTGGCAATCTCTCCCTATGTAAATTATAAACTTTCTAATGTAACATTGCACAGTGGACCAGTAGGTGGACAAAATGAGAAAAAATTTAGTTGTTATTTTGAAAACTTATTTAATTTTAGTATCTACATATATTAGGAGAAATGTATGGATAATTTATTTATTTTAAATCCCTTAGTTACCAGGACTCTGAGCATTTGAATATTTAAATTAAAAAAAAAAAAAATTTAAGTAATTTACGGTGACATTAACGCTGTGTTATATTTCAATAACATCTACGTTTTTGGAACAATTAACTAGTGCATGTTATTCTAGAGTATTTAGAGATAAGAAAAAACCAATGTGTGAAATAAATATGTCATAGCATGTTATCTCAGTTATACTTTAAAAATCACAAATTAAAAAAAACAAATCTTCATGAAGTTTATTTTTTGCCGCACTATAACTAATAATTACCATATTTTGCCATGTGCTGTCATATTTAAGCTATTTATTTAAGCTATATGATGTTTCAATCAAGTTTTAATTGATTCCTCGTCCCCTTAAATCCCCGTTCAGATTTTATATATGTTTTAACTTGGTTGTTATGGTACTGAATTTTGCATAGCAACAGCTATTTACATTAACGTTGTTTTAACAGTATTTTATCTGCGCTAAGTACACAATATTGGGAGTATGTATTAAATTGAGATTCACAATTCTTATAAGGTTATTTTTTTTTCGGTTGCTATGGCTACCTTACTTTGCATAGCATATAAGCATATTTTCGGTAGTTGTCAGTAATTTAATATTTAACAATAACAGTAATTTAATTACTTTTAATTTTAATTACTAACACTTGTAGTAACTTAATTACTAACACGAATTAGTAGTGCACGCGGCATATATATTATAACATTAAACTTTTAAATACAAAATATTTGTTATAAGAATTATTTAGATATGGCTTTATTAAACTTAGACATTCATAATTTTCTCCAAAAAAACAATCTTAGTATTTCAAAACAAAATATTACTGAAGATATATTGAAATTTATTCAGCCAAAATTTGCTGAATTTAAAGACGTTGATTTTTAGACATGCTGTTCAACGATTTGTTGACATGTATAAAATGTAAAACTGTACTTTTAAAATTTTTGAAAAGAAGTTTGTAAATTGGTATAATGAAAATTTAATTGTCAAAAAACTGACTGGGTTTAACAACAGTAACGAAAAGGTGCCTATTTGGAGAAATCAAAAGTCGTCATCCAGAGCCTATTGTAGACCCATAAGATTTGCTTGCAAAACGGAATTTAAGGAATCTGTGATCGAAGAAAATCAGTACATTAAAAGTGAGATAGAAAGCATGGGTATGATTTTATTAGAGGTTTGCGGTTCTTTTATTGAAGTGAATTGTGTTATTGAACTTACAATGATTGATGGTAAAGTTCAAGCGATATTATCTGAAAAATCTAACTCATACCAATGCTGTTAAGTGTGTGTTGTCTCTCCAAAAATTATGAATAATCTTGATATCCCTAATATAGATTATACTAACAGAGAGTTCAAGTATGATCTTTCCATTCTTCATGCATGGATTCAATTTTTTGAGATGGTTTTGCACATTGCATATAAAAAAGAAACAAGAAAGTGGCAAGCAAGATCTAAAGAACACAAAGAAAAAGCATCTTTAGCTAAACAAAAGATTCAGACTGTTTTTATGAACAAAATGGGACTTGCTGTTGATTTCCCTAAAAGTGGTGGTTCTGGAACAAGCAATGATGACAATACCTCAAGGCGTGCTTTTGCAGCATATGAACAAACAGCTGAAATTCTGGGTATTGATCAAAACCTTATATTCAAATTTTACATGATCTTGGTAACACTCTCTTAAGGATATGAAATAGACAGCTTAAAATTCAAGGATAATTGTTTTGACGCTGTTACACTATATGTGTCCCTTTATACATGGCTCAATCTGTTCGCAAAGTATTAATACATGGACATGACATAATTGAAAACCTTACATTAGAAATAAAGACTTCAAATCTTATCGCAAAAATTTTAGCCAAAAAACATCCATAAAAGCAACAAATACTGATCTTATCAATAGGCTTCTAGTTTCCAGTGATCCTGTTATTTCATCACTGCGTAAATCAACATCACACCGAACAAATCATAAAGCATTTCTTTCAGATGTTTTACAATTACTTAAACAATCTTCAAACGATGTTGTTGTTTTATAATTTTTTATGTAATTTAAAATTGAAAATACTTTGTTGCACTATTTTTTTGTTTTTATTATAGCAAAAACATTATTAATCTAAAAAATCAATTGTTATTCATTATAAGTGGGTCGAAAATCCGATAGAATATTCAAATATCAACTTACATCATTGTAACTAAGGAAAGTATCTGGTAACTAAGCAATATAAGTATCCATACAACTAAATTAAAAAATTGTCACTTTTATGTGTGATCTCATATTTGTACTCATACCAAATTTAGGGAATATAGCACTCACAAAATATCTGCAGATAACAAAAATAGATTGTTGCTAAGCAAAATAAAGGTATCCATAGCAACGAAATAAAAAAATATACCTTCATAAAAAGCGCAGACATCATATAAGTACTCATGCTAAATTTAGTGAATATAGCTCCAATATTAAATTAGTTATGAATTTTGTCCAGTAAAAGTGAATTCTGGCCCACTGTACATTGGTTAGTTTGTAGACAGAAAAAAAAAACCGTGGAAAAAAAAAATAAAAGCGTGGCTTTTATTTGATATGGTTCATACCACTCAACCATACTCCTCAAAATAAAAGGTTTACATAAAAAGGTTTATATAAGCAAACAGGGTCCCAAATATATAATCACAATCACCATTAAATGGAGCCTCTATCCGGTTTTAAACAGTTGTTAAATATGATAAAAGTGTTGTAAACATTGCGTAAAACTTCGTATACTAAACGTAAAATAAACATGTATATTAAATTGCGCCAATTAATACAGTTAGTATGTTTACAATAAGTATAAAAGTTTTTATTTTATCGCAGTTTAGTTTTAAAAGTTGAATATTTTTTCCATACCCTAACCACCTTGTCCTGAGAGAATTTGTTAATATACGACTCTGGAAAAATACAAATATAACGCATAAGCAGGAACCCGCCCAAGTACCTACGTTTAGCTTTATTTTATTTTGGAGCTTTTTAGTGTTTATTTTAAACTGTTATGGTAATAAATCGTTTACACATGTTTAGCGTCGCAATACTCAGACCATCAATATGAAGCGGAAAATGAAGCCGATCATCAGGTGAAATAACGTTTTAAATTTACCAGAAATCGGTTTTAGATTTTACTATTTAGTTATTGTTTATAGTGCATTTTTTGTTTGTTTGTACTGCTTTCATTCATCTTTCACTTTTTGGGTCTTTGAAAAATGGCTTTGACGAGGGTTTTTACATTACTTTGTTAAAACAAACCTCATAAAATATGGAAAAAATATATATCTTTTTTTAAAGAATAAAAATAATTAAGGTTTTATCACAGTGCGCATGCTCATAATAAAATAAAAAATCTACAAAGTTAGTTATAGTGAAATGATAAGAAAGGCCAAGTCTGCAAAAGATCAAGTTTTTGCGCAATTTATATTCTTAGCAATGCTCACTTTTTTTCCCTGCATATTTTTTACACTTGAAATAATACAGAATATACATGATTTTTTAATTAAAATAATACAGAATAAGTATGATTTTTTAATTAAATTGTGTCATTAAGTGGGCTAATAACGATAATAATAACAGCATTATGACAAGATCGATAACTCTAAACTTCTTATAGTGCTGTTAAGTAAAATGTTTCTCGTGGGCAGTTAATGCTGTTTTTTTATTTGTAACTTAAAACAAACGTAGTAAAGCTATAAGCGTATTTTTTTTTTTTTCTATTTGTTATAGGTAGTTTATTGAAATAAAAAAAATGTTTTTATAAATTTCATTATTTATATTTCCCAATATTCCTTGGCCGCAAAACACTCCTTGCTTACAATACTTTACTCCTCGTATCTTGCTGGTATTTAAACTTGTTTATACTTTGAGTTCATTTAACAATAACGAGGTTTTTAAACGCTAACAAAGCGCGCGCAACCGAAAAGAAGTATCGAAGCTATAAAGTTAAAATATATTTTAATTTTATACGAAGTCAAAATAAATTAAAGCAAGTTTGCTTCTCGGCGAAGGGAAAACTTGGTAAAAATTATTCTTAACAAAATTATCGTTTATTTCAAAATATATGAGCAGGGCATAATTATAATTTTTTGTTTGGTAACAAATATAATTTTATATTTACGAAAAATAAAAATAAAATATTTATTCGAAATATTTTCGTCCTAAAAGCAAGTTTGTTTTGGACTAATTAAAAAAGTAGACACGATAAACTTTCAGGTTCAACAAAACTTTGTTTATATATATATATATATATATATATATATATATATATATATATATATATATATATATCAAACCTCGGAATTAGGAAAAATGAGGTCGGCAGTAAGGAAAAATCTGTGTTTGTTAGTGTATGCGTATTTTTTTTTTTTTTTTAGTTTTTTGATGAAACAGATAACAAACGACGAGTATTGGGTAACAAGTTGTCTGAAGAAGGCTTTTTAGTTACTTCTTCAACTCAGCTCGATCGTATGCATAAAGGCATTCGTACAGAAGACAGTACTCTCAAAAATATTACTGACTTTGAAGATTCGTTAAATGAAGAAGAAACGATCAATCAGAATCGCAATGTTTTTGGCAAAACTCATTTTAAAAATGACGAACAAATAAACAAAATCTTTTCTAATGAGCAATCAAATATTTTATCCTTAAAACATAACACGTTACCAAGCAAAAGAAGTAGTCAAATTTCGGATGCGCTTCTAACACGTGATAACGCTGTATCTAGAAACACGTTGCCTAGGGATAATAAAACAGTTTCCACAAAATCCGATGGAAATTTATTTTTACGTCAGCGAAGTTTGCCGTGCGCGAATAGAAACGACAATGCTGGAATTAATGAAATTCTTAAAGAGCTTTCAATGCATGAAAAATTTTTATCAAACGGACACAATACGAGCTTTAAACATGAATCGGAGCAAGTTCCAAATAAGGAAAACGAGAATGTTACTTCTAATGGTTATCATCCAATTGTTTTATCCAAATCATCAAAGGTTTATGTTCTGTATTACTATATTTATTATGTATGCATATTTTTATTACAATTACTATGGATTTTGTTCATAAGTTTGTATAATAAGTTTGTAAATAAGTTTGTATGCCGTAGGTAAGAGCAGATATATGTTTAAGTTAATTACCTTGAAATTTTCTTTTAGAATGGTTTTGATGGTCAAAGTTGTTTGATGAAAGAAAATGAAGACTTAAAAAACCGCATTCAAATATATGAGAAGCAAATTAACGGATTAAAAAAGGTTATTGTTGCATAATTATAAGCGGCGTGCTTTTTATCTATGGGTGATCATTTTATAATATTGACATTTACATATGGAATAAGGGTTGAGTGATGTCTTATTTTTGCATTATCGACTGCCAATAATTCAAACCTAAGTGCTTATTCAATTTTTTCTCCCTTTTTTTTTTTTTTCAATTTTTTTCAAAACTATAGTTTTACTTTGAAATTCCCCAAAAGTTAACTTACTTGGAGATATACAGTGATATTTAACAAAGATGGATAATTGACAATGTGTGTTTTAAAGTTAAAGATGTATAATAGACGATTTCGGAGTTAGCGTAGCCATCTTGGAAAAATATTCTTGGGGGTGCAAGTTGAACTTTGAACTTTCCGTTTTTATGCAAACTTTCATATAAAAGTATGAAAATTTTCATAATTTAAGTTCAAAATAACTCATAGTTTATTAGTTAATTCTTGGTTTAAAAATATTAGCGAAAAATGGTAAACTTGTTGCAAGAGCTTTTGCTGTTATGGAACTTATTCTTGAAATTATATCTTCACAATTTAAAAACAAAAGGAAAGGTGATATTACACCTTTTTTATGGTTTTAAATTTTGTATTTAGTATCTTAAATGGTGCAAACTATACCGTATGAAAACTTTAAATCAAGAATTCACTTTAGTACATACATTTTATTACAGTGAACTGTTTGATCTCATTATAAAATATTAGTTATTAGTTTAAAACTAGTTAATTAAATTGTATGTATTATAATGCCAAGTCAAAGCAGATCTTTAGTTAGTGTCTTTATTAATGACAAAAGATACCCTGACGAAATTATAAAACAGCAATGTTGAAGAAAATTTAATAATATACTTTTATTGCTTTTTTTTAAATAAAAGCATTTAGTAAGTAATATCTAGTATGAAATATAATGCCAATTCATAGCAGATGTGTAGTTGGTGTCTGTAATAATTACAAAAGATACCCTGACAAAATTATAAAACATAGCAATGTTGAAGGAAATTTAGTAATGCAAAGTTACCAACATGTAAAGAAAGAACAAATGCATGATACATTATGGTAGCACTAGTACAAAAGATTTTGTTGTTCCTAAAAACTTTTTTGTTTGTTTAAATCACTTCCTTGAAGAAAAATCTACAAAAGATAATCCTGATCCAACTTTGTTTTTAAAAATCTCTACTAACACCATAGCAACACCAAAAAAGAGAAAAGTACGTAAAACTTCACGAAACTCAATTATTAATTCTTTAGTTATGAAAGAAATTAATTCAATGTTGACTGTGGTGATTCTGAGTTGAATTTTGTTGTTGCAGATGAAAGAGAAATAGCATCATCTAGTGAATTTCTAGTGTCTGTCCCAATGATGTTCTGCCAGTTGACACGTGAAAATGATGTGCAATTTTTTTACAGGTTTGGTGAGTACAAAAAATTTTCAGGTGTCTTTAATTATCTCAAACAAAGCTTCTCTTATGACGTATTGGGATGGCAGCAACAAAATTTTGAAATTAAGAAAAAGCTCAAGTTCTGTTGAATTAACAGAAGCAATATTATGTCTCCTGATTATGATGTTGATGTTGAATCATCTATCGAATTTGAATTAGTTTCTTTCATAACTAAAACCTTTTTAGAATTAATAATTGAGTTTTGTGGAAAAAGTACTTTTCTCTTTTATGGTGTTGTTATGGTATTAATAGAGATTTTAAATAAAACAAAGTTGGATCAGGATTATCTTTTGTAGATTTTTTTTCAAGGAAGTGATGTGAACAAACAAAAAAGTTTTTAGGGACAATAAAATCTTTTATACCAGTGCTACCATGATGTATCCATGCATTTCTTCTTTCTTTACATTTTGGTAACTTGTGCATGTCCGGGTATTATTTGTCATTATTACAGACACCAACTATACATTTGCTAAGACTTGGCATTATATTACATACTAGATATTACTTAATAAATGTTTTTATCTTAAAAAAAAAAAAAAAAGGCAATAAAATATATTAACTAGTTTTAAACTAATAACTATTTTTTTATAATGAGATCAAACAACTCACTGTATAAAATGTATGCACTACAATTATAATTACACATATAGTTTATATTTTTCAATATAAACTATATGTGTAATTAAATAAAAAAATGCAAACTTATTTTATATTATAAAATTTAAAACCATAAAAAAAGGTATAATATCACCTTTTTTTTTGGTTTTAAATTGTGAAGATATAATTTCAAGAATAAGTTTCACAGCAGCAAAAGCTCTTGCAACAAGTTTTACATTTTTTCCTTATAATTATAAACCAAGAATTAACTAATAATCTATGAGTTATTTTGAACTTAAATTAAGAAAGTTTTCATACTTTTATATGACATTTTGCATAAAAACGGAAAGTTCAAAGTTCAACTTGCACCCCCAAGAATATTTTTCCAAGATGGCTACGCTAACTCCGAAATCGTCTATTGGATAATGCGTATGTTAAAGTTTTTATTGAAATGCGTTAAGACAAAATAATTATTAGAAAAAAACATTTAATACGTATTTAAACTATATACGTATTTAAATTACGTTTTTTATGTACGTTTTTTATTTCAAACACCTATTTAAGATTTGCGCTCGAAATAAAAAAAAAAACTGAACTTTATTAAAATTCAAATAAATCTAATATATCCCAATATTTTTATATTTTAAATCTTAACTTTAAAAAATATAAAAATAAAAAAGATATAAAGAGCCTTAACCTTAAAGTGTATATTAAATTATAATAAATAAAAATAATTTGACATATGGTCTAGTGTGGTGGAGCTTACAGCTTGATATCTCATGATAGAGTAAAAAAAAAAAAGTTATCCTCCTTGACCATAGTGGCTCCTGGAGCCTTTGGGAAGTGAAATGATTATGTGATGAAAAAAAAATTTTGTTATCAAATAAATGTTAAATATTCTATTATGTTTTAATGATAGTAAATTATTGCAACCTAAATACTTTACAGACTAAATTGTTGCAGGTAAAATATTTTACTGACTAAATTGTTGCACCCTAAATATTTTACTGACTAAATTGTTGCAGCCTAAATATTTTACTGGCTAAATTGTTGCAGCCAAAATATTTTACTGACTAAATTGTTGTAGCTATTTTTTGTTATTCTAAAAATCTTACTAACTTCATATATTTTAAGTCTTTATTTGTGCAGTTTTTAGATATAATATCAGTGCGTGCGTGCGTGCGTGCGTGTGTGTGTGTGTGTGTGTGTGTGTGTGTGTGTGTGTGTGTGTGTGTGTAACAAAAATTATTTATAAAAAATAGTTGAAATTTCTATTTTTTTATCCTTAAAAATAGATATTTGGATATATAAATAAATTGATTTACCATCCACAATTTATATTTTGTTCAATTTATTATCATCTCCAGTACACTTCAATCATTAGTTTAAAAAAGAAATAATAATAACAATGATAATAAGAATAGTATATTATTATAATTAATATAATATATTATAAGCAGTATAAATTATTCATTGCAAAAACTTGTGTTCAAGTAAATTTTGTAAATTGCAATCATAATAATAAAAATACAAATTTGTAAAATAAATTATCATTATTAAAAACAATCTGAACTTAAATTGACAAATTTATAAAATGAAAATTCTAAATATATTAATGTTTAGAATTTATATTATTATGATTGCAATTTACAAAATTTACTTGAACACAAGTTTTTGTAATGAATAATTTATACTTCTTATAATATATTGTATTATTATTATCATTGTATTTATATAATATATTGTATAATTATTATCATTGCTATTATTATTTCTTTTTTAAACTAATGATTGAAGTGTACTGGAGATGACAATTTAAACATTAAAACATTAAAAACAAAAAACTTAACTGAAAAAGTTTTAATCAATCATATATATTCTGAAAAAAGATTTTCAATGATATTTTCAAATGCAAATATTAATTTTACTAATCTTATGTAAACCAAAAAAATGTATAAATATTATATATAAAATAAATGTTTTTTTATTTTTTTTTTAGAAATGTATAATTCTATAAGATAAAGCTTGTCTTTTCTCAATACATGTTGTTTGTGTAAGGAATACCCATTAGGCAAACAAACAAAAAAATGTATATTGAAACATAATGTGAAGATAAGATTTTGGATAATTTTTGTGTCAAGTATGAGCAATGTTTACTGGTAACTACTGAATTGTGTATTACAAATACAGTTTAGTTACCATGCAGTTGCAGTTTCTTTAAATTTAAATGTAAAATAAACAAATAAAATTATCCATAGGAAGTTCAACGACTCTTTGATTTAAATGTCAACTATAAAGAAATTAAATGTGAGTTGGAAACTAAATGCCAATCATATGACGACGAAGTGGCACGAATGAATAGAAAAATTAGCACACTTCAAAAAGAAAAGGATTTGGTAAGATTTTACAAAATCATTTTTTTTTTTCTCTCGTTTGAGATTGGTTATAGCTATAGCAAATGGTAATAATGGTAATGGGTTTAATTTTGATGAAAACTGAAATTTAAACCCGAATAATAAAAAATTTAGGTAAAAAAAAATTTTAAATTGACTTAGAAAAATCTTGCATAACTTTAGATCTTATTTTTAATAGATCTTATTTTTAAAGTTTTAGTAGTCTTATATACCTGTTTTACTATATTTGTTAAAAAGATTTCCTGTCCATTCATAAAACATCATGTTTCAGGTCCCCAGCATAAACAAAAAAAACCCTATTAATTCCATTGAAAATGTAAATCTCTTTCAATAATTATATATTTATATACTTTCCATGCTTATGTCTATCTTATGTTTATGTCCTTTACATGTCCTTTATCCCCATGTTATGTCTTTTCCATGTAAATCTCTGTAACTATGTATTTACATTACTTTCAATAATTATGTGTTTAAGGATTTTCAGTTAGTCGACATCAAAAAAAGAATAATTTATTATTTTTCATTTTAATTTATTATTATTCATAAATGATTATGTTTAATTAAGCTAATTTACTTAATTTACCTAAGCTAATTATGCTGTTAGAAAAACCTCAAATATATTTATATATAATTTTAAAGAAAAATATTTGAAAAGAATCAAAAAGAAAATTTATAATTTTTTCAAGAAATCCTATACCAAAGTTTTAAATAATCAAAGTATCTTAGTAGCTTTTTATATCCCAGTGATGCCATGTGGCATGCCATGTAACTTGCCATGTGACATTATTGATTAGAATTAGCAAAAAAAGCAATATGTGAAGGAGGTGGAGGAGATCACAGTGTTTTTAAGGAAAGTTAGTTCCTCTACATTTTTCGAATACTGCATTTATTGCTTTTTAAAGTCAATGACACCATCATGATGGCATGACTGGAATATAAAGGGTTAAAACCATCACTTCAACTTCAAGCAAGTCTTAAACAGTTTATAGATATAATCACCCTCTTATTTTATCTAGGAGCAAATTTAATACAATTACTAATAACAACCCCCATCAATATTTTATAGTGGCAAAATTAGGTGGTTTACTTGATTTAAATAATGATTATTTATTACTTGCTAATGTAACAAAAAGTTTTGACATAAAAAAATGTTTAAAGAATAAAGTTATTTTAGTTAAATATTTTTAATAAAAATAAAATTGTATAATAATATCAAGACAACAGCGTGTACGCAATGTAAATGCAACAAATCTTGGTGTGTTAGAACATAGCTGCGTACTAAAATGAGTTACTTAAGTTACTTGAAACTAATGACTAAACTAATGAATTGGTTTTTGCAGCTAAAGTTTTTTTTAAGCCAATTATCGAAGATATTTTTAGTTAATATCACTTTTCATTTTGTTTGAATATAAGTTGTTTTGTTTTTAGGTCATCGAAAGAAGTCAACAAGAAATTATAAATATGCAAATGAGTGTTAATGAGCTAGAAGAGAGATGCAATTCGTTGAATCATCTTCTCCTGCGAACTGATAGAGAACATCAAGAGCTTTTAAGCGAGGTTATTTAATTTAGTCAAATGAAATTTAACAGTTATTAATTTTTTTTCTTTTACAAATGAAAAAAATTTAATTTGTATAGCTCTCTGAAGAAAATTCCCCGCGTCTTTTGGAAAGTTATAAACAGCGCTGCAACGAATTAGAGAAGGAAAATAAAACCTTGTCTGAAAATTACAAAAATTTAGAAGCTGCACATTGTTTGCATGATGAAGAAATGAAGCGGGAGATCAATAACCTGCAGGATGTTGTAATATAGTATTATTATTTTTATACATTTTACATATAATAAAAATGAGATGATAAAGTTTTATATATAATTGATTAGATCGACATGCTTAAAAAAGATCAAACGCAAGCAAAATGTTTTCCTTTTTTTGACGTTAACCTTTCGAGTAACACTAAAAAAAATATGGAAAAAATATCTAAAGAAAATGAACACCTAAAGAGCAAGTTAAAAGCAATGCGCTTGCAGTCTGAATTGTCTGCAAATAGTCTAAAAGATAATTTAGCGCGCAACTCAAGAAACTCTTCACTAGTAAATCAAGTTAATAGCTCGTCTCAAGAAGACTCATTACAAATTGAACCATCTGATAATTATAAATCAAATGACGTCATCACTGACACGGCCTTTAATTCTGCTAATTTCATGTCTCATTCTTTAAAAACAAATGTTGACGAGCAGTTGAATAAAGTCTTGTCATCCAAGTCATCGATAGATGATATTTTGAAACGCTATTCATCTGAAAGTTATTCAAACGAATTTAAAAAAAAGGGAAAAACATACAATCGAGGTATTTTCTTTTGTTCTTGGTTTGGCTTTTTCAAATTTGAAAATTATTTGGTTTTTAACTTAATAATTACTAATATAGAAAACCAATTGTATAGCAAATCTCATTTTTCTTCTACATTCTCCCGCCCAAAATCTCAGTCTCTTGATCGTGGAATGGATAGAATTGGGTTTGATCAAGGTTAGTTTATAGGATTTGTTTTTATATCTATTCATTTAATATCCAATTTAATTTAAAAACTTTTTATACAGGTGAAATCAACACTCGCTCTTTAACCAAATTACCATTCTGTCCAAATACAATAAATGATCTTACTATTGGCATGAAAGTTAGTGTGAGTCGATCAGGCAAAAGATTGTGTCGTGGTGTGGTAAAATGGATTGGGCATTTACCAAATCAACAAGGCGACTATGTCGGAGTTGAACTGGAAAATAATAGTAATATCTTAGCAGTATGCATTTGTGTGTTTGTGTGTGTGGAATATATCTATATAATATATAGATATATTATATATGTTTATATATATATATATATATATATATATATATATATATATATATATATATATATATATATATATATATATATATATATATATATATATGTATGTTGTAGTTGGAAGGAACAGTGGTGATTTTGAAGGATATTTATATTTCAACTGGTGAGATTTGATTTCTATTGTTAGAGCATTTGTTTAGTTTAATTGTTATTGTTATTATTATTATTTATTTATTTGTTTTAGCAAGCCGAATTCGGGATTGTTCGTTAAGTTTAAAAAGATCATAATGGCGTGGAAATAATGGATTCGATATATTTATAATGGCTTAGGAGTAGCGAGTCAATTATTTTGCAATCAAGCATTATTTGAAGTTCACAAAGCAGTATCGGTTTTTCCATTTGACGCTTATTGCAATAGCAAACATTCCGTCGTAAGGACTGCTGTCCTTTAATAAATCGATAAAAAAACATTTTACTTTTGAGAGTGTGTAAATAAATAAGAACTCTCGTGTTTTTTTATGTCACGTTTAGTATAGATAGACTGCGAATCTTACTTCGATATTGGCGTCGTTTGCTTTATTGATGTTGTGTTACATCGGCGTTGTATCCCGCTTGGCGACAGAAATTTCGGTGGCTTGTTACAACGATTACTACTGGCCCACAAAAGACCACAGAAAAAATCAATTGAATATAAAAAGATTTAAAAGTTTTTTTTATTTTAAACAACATTAATTTGTTCGAGCATTATTCGAGCATAATTAGTGATTAATTATCAATATAATTAAACATTTGCATCAAGGTAAAACGAGCGATAAAGAACTCGCACTAGGTAAAAACTGGTAAGCATTATGTCTCACGGGTATTTGAATCGTTTAAATGCCCTTTTTGCATGTCACTTGCAAGTCGCTTCCTTTACACGAACATAAAGTGTTGCGAAAAATCGAAAAAAGAATTTTCATTCTTAACTTTCAAGAAGAGAAATTTTCTAATACTATGCTAAAAGTTAAGGTTATGTTCACAAAGGTTTTTTAATTGCGAGCTTCCTTGGGTTCACCTTGGGTAGCAAAATGCAAGATTTTGGAAAATAACCTCAATATACAAGTTTTAAATTTTGTTAAACAAAACTAAAATAAACACTCCTGCTAATTTCTTTCTGTATAAATTATTGCTTTATCGAAATTTGTAGTTGAGTTATTCCTGGATTTTCTCAGTGAAAATACAGGAATGATTCGACTATACTGTATTCTTTCTCATTTTAATTTATTATTTAAAAGGCAATAAAACAAAACTAGAAATTGGATTCCCATGTTGAAATCTTTTCAAATTTTAAATTATGAAGTCCTATTATAAAAAAAAAAAACATTTTTAAATTTTCTCATAAATTTAATTAACATCGCCTTTTCTAACGGCAGCTGGTTTTTAAAAATGGTTTTTATTATTAAATTACAGCATATTAAGTATTCCTTTATGAACAAACTTATTGGTACTCAAAGTTTTATAATATCTTTAACGATACTAAAACAAAAAGGTAGAAATTTTTACCTTTAAGATTATATTGTATATCCTACCCAATTAAGGCAGCAATTTATACTCTTCAGGTAGAATATCATATTTTCTTTACATGGTTCTGGCGACAAGATACTCAAGATTTTCTTTTAGATTCCCAGTTTATATATTGTTTTATAGTAAAATTACGATCAGATACTGTTACTATGCATACAATCATTTTTAAAAGGTGGTAGCATTTTTCAACAGGTTTCTTGTTTTCATATTAGGTTGGTCATGTAACTTCTATAAAAAACAAAGAATTTTGACTGTTCTATGCTAATACAAGTTCACCAGTTATAAACCTAATTAAAAAATTACGATGATTGCCCAGCACAAACATACACAATTTTTGAGGTATATTCATGTTTAAAGCATTCATCTGTTGAAGTAATGGACTTGCATGATTGAAATTTTTGTCACGTATAACGTGACAAAAATTTAACAAATGATCAATGTCATTTGCAAGTTAATCAAAGATTTAAAAAAAGCATCAACACTTTTTTTCAAAATGATAAATAAAATGCAAGCTGTGACCAAACTTTTTTTTTTGAATTAAAAATATAAACTTCAAGGATTACAAATTTTGTATAAATGTATATATTAGTATTTTGTATATTACTAGGCGTAAAACATACGCTTAACAATAAACACAGTCACAGAGTCCTAACTAATCTTCCCCACACACCCCATTTGGGATGGGGGAAAGGAGGGCATTGGGCAATTGGGCCCAACAAAAAAAAAGAAAGCTGCTTAATTTCTCCATTTTATGGAGAAATTAAGCAGATTTCTTTTTTTTTAGTAAAACCTAGCAGAAAAACTTTTAAGTTTTTGGGGCCTTAATGGCAGCTATTAAAGAGGGGGGTTTTGATATGAGCAAGATTTATTGGCACAACTAGAGTTTTATATACGGCATACTATATCGCATTATACCTAAAATCTTAAAGTAGTTTTGTATTAAACCAACATTAGAGTTGGAAGTTACTGGAAGAGAAAAAATGAAGTTTATAGAACAAGATAACGATTAAAAGACGAGTTAAAAGATTGCAAATAATATAAATTAGGAAAACAAAATGAAGGGAGCAAATTTTAAAGAGCTGGTTTTTGAGAGGAAAAACTAGACGCATAATAATTTGTTGAGCATATAGGGAGTTAATCCTAGAAGACGAAGGTAGATGACTCATCGAGTACATTACTGTTCATAAGTATAGGAAGATCTAGGTTGTTGCGATAACGATTAGCTAATTAGTTTTATCTGAGTTAAAGTTTACCAACCACTGAGAGCCCCATGGTGTAGCAGTGGTGAGATCCTTTTCAAGTTCAAATACCCTCTCCAAGCAATCGAAGAGTGTTGGATTTTTATCAAGACATAAATAAATGGTAGTATCATTAGTGCCTTGCCACTTTAGATTTCAGGGAGATCGTTAATGTAAAATAAAAAAAGTATAAGGCCAAAGATAGAACCTTAAGAAACGACGACAGAAACATGCTTTTAGAATAATATTTTATAAAGATAAGCTTACTCATGCAAGTCCATTACTTAAACAGATGAATGCTTTAAACATTTACCAAATCAACATATATCAATAATATAGTATTTCATGAAATAATTAATAAAAGTTCTCGATGACAAGACTTACACAGTTTTCTGCGAGTTTCCCCCTGACTACAAAATTTATTTTTATCCCGTTTGTTTTTCACAATACAGTTAGTAATATTACTTTAATTTCCTTATCTCAAATATATCTCAAGTATTTTGATGTCTCTAGTTATATAAGAAGTATTTTTTTTGAATGTATTTGTTGTAATATATTATGTATTGTAAAAACTTGTAAATACTATGTAGTCTTAAAATTATATGAACATGAATATGAAAAAAACCTCTGAAATTACAGGAAATGAAGAAGAATGCTGTCCATCGAGAACAACTTTTATAATCTGATACACCGTAAGAAGAGTGCTTATGGAGAAGACCAGCACACAGTGGGCAAGAATTTTTTTTCCGTGGCCAAAAGTCCCAAAAAAGTCAAATCTTCTAAACTTTTTTTCATTTCGTTATTGAAACAAAGGTGCTTTACTGCACTCAAAAATGTACCCGCTTAATTATTAGAGATGAAGGCAAGCTTGCTAGAACCATTCATAATGGCTATAAAATTGTCAAATTTTTGCAAATTTTTTTTTTTCAAAAATACTTATCCTCAAAACTTACATAACTTTTTTCAATTAAAAAAGCTTTGGACTATTTTTATTTTAAATAAACATATTAGCTTAGTGCTTATAAAAAGTATATGTTTTAGTTATATATTTGTATTTAATTTATTCATAATATGTCTTAGAATTGTTGGTATTTTAGAGGTGTTTTTCTAAATTTCCTCATCTTCCTTTTTCTAAATGCCATTCGAAGATCGTTTAATTTTCTGATTTTTGCGTTTACTAAACGGCAGTTATTGTTCAAAAAAAAAACCAGCTGCGACCATGTATTCTTTATGATATATTTTTTAGTTCAAAATCGACGACTTTTTTTGCTTTTATAAAAAGACCGATATAAAGTTAAGTTATTTGTTTAAGGAATATAGTTTTTTTTTTTTTTAATTTTATTAAACACATCGAATCGTTATTATTTAAAATAAATTTTATTTTATTATTTTAATATTTTCAAAAAAGGAAAAAAAAAAGAAAATCATTTCACTATAAATGCGTAAAAATCGAATATTTAAGTACTCGACTCCAACCAAATGCCGCTCTCTTGAAATTGGAATGAATGATATTTAGGAAGTATAACGGTTGTTTAATACTATTTGAAAAAATCAGCTACGACTAGCTATAACTTAGACTTAAAGTCGATTTTGAAATTTCAAGATTTTAGACTAATTTCATTCTTACTTTACAATGCATTGTGACGAGAAAAAATTTATTTGTCTGAAAATTTGAAGTTTATATGATATTGAAGACTAATTAGTTAATAGTTGCAGCGATTTGATTAAAAAATTGTAACGTTAAAAACTTTAAAAAGCCTTAAGCATAAAAAATTAACGTAGACACTGTAAGAAAAGTGAAGTTAGACACTTGCATATACTGTAAGGGTTAAAAAATATTTAAACTATTAGTCATTAACATCATTCATATAGACTTTTAGTGAACTACATTAACTATATTTTATATTGGTAATATTAAATAATCATTTAAAACTTAGAATTTACTTTTTATTGCTCAAGGTTATAATTTTATTTCTATTTTACAAATTAGTGCACATAACAATTTCGCATAAATCAAATCGTAAAAATAATATAAATAAAATCTTAGTCAGTGTATTCAAAGTCAGCATAGTAATAAAATGGCAAATCAGTGTTTTCATTTTCAGATGATAAGATAATACCATTGTTCTCATTTAAATTTCTTATTTAATTTATGTTTATTGGCTTTAGTTCCTGATTTCTATCATCAAAATCATCATCTAATCCAACTCATTATATTATTCATCCGCAAAAATATCGTCATTAGCATCATTTGTATTTTTCTTTTCAGTTTCTTAAAAAAGAAGATTAACTGCGTCTCCATCTAGATTCATTTTTTTATGTTTACATTTTGATTTTGCATAGTTTAGAGATGAAAGAATTGGGTCACTCGAAAGCATTCAATAATTGAATTGGTCCGTCATTGTAACTTTTCGATCAAATTTGAGAGTGTGTTGTAAACAAATATTTTTATTATCTTTATTCCGAGCTTCAATTGCTTCTTCAGAGAACATTTCAATTGGTAGCATAAATCTAGATATTGTCAGACTACTATGAATGAGTAGTTTGTGTACTGAGGCTGACATGTAAAACCATGAGTACTCTCGAACAAAAATATTTGCTGTTTCCAAACAATATGTTTCATATTTGGCTAAGTTAAATTTTTTATTCGAATTAATGACAGATAGAATAACGTATAGCCTGTATATTAAATCATTCTTAAC